TGTTGTACAGAATCACTTAGATGGGTGTGTTGCTGAGTCTCTCTTTACCTAGTGTTTTAAAATGTTTACTGGGAAGCTTTAAATGACAATAGAGTTAAATTTACTTACAAGGACATGAACACCCCAGTGTTTTTTTCTAGCAACTAGAAAGGTCAATGGTTGCGAAAGATATGCAGCCAAATGAAGAACCGTACCCAACTGGAGCCAGCATTCATCCAGAATGCACCCACTGGGAATTCAGACAGCCACTCCGTAGCCTTTGAGAGTCGTCAGCCATATCGGAGAAGTGGTGGGCTTCTACTGCCACTTGCCAGCAGAGCATCTTAATGATAGAAAGATTTTTAACACTCGGGCAAATGCCTGTTTTAATAACCTTAGACCTTTGTGTCCTGTATATGCAGATATTTGTGTGCGTGCATGACACTAGCTAATAATTATCAAAACAAATTCAGTGGTGTTTCATCTTATTGGGCATGATAACCAAAACCTGTGAGATATTTCTCTGAAACATCTGATGTTCTACAAGTTAGAGGTAAAGGATGAAGAGAGTGATTCAGAAGCAGAATCAGCCAGTGCTCAGGATCTGCACAGAGAGTCTTCAGGATCAACCACAAATCCAGCAAGAAAGTCATGTTTCTCTAGAACGTCTTCTGAGCATAGCCCATAAGAATTAGTCTGTTTTTCAATTATAGATTACTCTTTTAAATAATTTCTAATGTTTATAGGAGTAAAGAATACTTCTGAAGTGAAACAATTAAATTGAGGTTATTGAGGACCAACTCTAATGGGAAAGTCATTAAAAAGGGGGTGCTATTGTATACTAGCTTCTGGCTGCCTTTAATTAAGAGAAAGATGATGGTCCTTCCTCCAGGGGTGCTTCCTCAGTTAGGCCATTAATAGCTGTAGGATTAATTATTTGGCCTCCTTCAATCATTCATTCACAGACATTTACTAGGCACTTACTATTGGCCAGGCACTGTGCTAGGCACATAGAGATAAATGAGACTTACTACTAATTCAGCCTTCAATTTAAAACAAGATTTTCTTCTAAACATAAATCATATTCTTCCTTCCCCTGCTTGTTTCTACCTGTGTTTATTTTTTTTTAGACATGAATTGATTACTTCTCTTTAGGAAACTGGTAGTAAATGACATAACATTTTTTGAAATGAACTTTTTAATAGATCAGCAGTTTGGAGTGAAGCTTCATAATTTTTAGAGGCTAATACCTCAATTAAGTAGTAAAGTCTATATATTGGGATCTAGATGCTAAAATGACTTGAGTTAAAAAAACAAAAGTTTCAGAATATGATAACCAAAAACCTAGAATATAAGTTTGAACCAGTTAACAATTTCAGATCTCATATCTGGATGATCTAACTGCACGTTTGGTACAGATCTGTGCACTAGTTACCTAAAGATACCCATATTGAGAAATTAAAACTCTACGAAACATGTTATTTTAAAACTCCAGCAATTGACATCTTTTATATTTTGCTGGCTATATTTAGAACAGTGTGCTTACTTGAAGAAATTGACTCTTGTACACCTAAAAGTAATAGAGTGTTATATGTCAATTATATTTTATTTTTCAAAAAAGAAAAAAGAAAAAGTGAAAATAAATTGGTTCATTCTCTATTTTTTGAAGCCCTATGGTTAATTTAAAGTTGTTAGCATTAATTGATAAATTGGACTCTATCAAAATTTAAAACTTTTGTGCTTCAAAGGACACTGTCAAGAAAGTGAAAGACCACCCACAGACCGAGCAAAAATATTTGCAAATCAAATATCTGAGAAGAGACATGTATCCAGAATACGTAAAGAACTCTTATAACTCAATCTTAAGTAATTGCATTACTAATTCAATAACTAGTAGTGCTGCCTCTTCTGGTATATTCTTGGGACAGATGTTTGCTCACATGTGGGGAAGGAGGACCACTTGGGGCAATAACTGTTCTCTTTCCAGTTTTGCACAAGTCTCACTTCATCCCTGCATTCCTCCCGGTCAGAGGGAGTGATGGTGGCTATGGTACCGCTCAAGGCTTTTGCAGCCAAGCCCCAGTGATCCTTTCCAGCCTCTTCTCCATTCTCTCCTCTAAGGCACCATGCTGTCGGGCAAGGTGGCCAGTCCAGTTGTTCCCACCCACTAGGGCCCTTTCATACCTCCTTCCTCATGATATTCCAGCCCTCCGGAATCTGAGCCTCCCCACCCTTCTGTCCACCACTCACCTGGTGGGCTTACTCTTCCATGCCCAGCTCAATTCTAACTTTTTCTGTAGCTTTCCTGAAGAATTGATGGCACACACTTTCATGTGAGTGTCCAAATTTTTCATATACCTCTCAGTAAGCAATTACATGGTATTATATTTATGTCTTAAGTCTGTCTCCTTAGGTGGATTCTGAGCCCCTTGAGGCAGGATTAAATCTCATTTATCTACCAATCCTTGGCCACAGCTCAGTGCCCAGCCATGGTAGGTGTCCAGTAAATGTTTCGCGGGTGGAATCATTAGACTGGGTGGAGCCTCATCTTTGAAGAGAAAGATCGAGACAGGTATAAGTGGTCCCACTGCACCTGGAAGAAAGGGGTCTGACTCTGTCTTCTGTATTTCAAAGTGAGGAAACAGAAGCATATGTTGCAGTGAAGGCACTTTGTGTTGCTAAGGGGAAGGACTGGGTGAGCACACAGGTTCTCAGACTTAGCCTTCTGTTCAGAGAGAGATATCCCAGTTGCTAGCCTCTGCCGTCACGCCCGTTGGTGATTGTTTTGGGGTTCGTGTATCCCACTCCTTTAGATGCCTAGGCTTTAACCATCTGACAACTGTTTCCTGAATCATTAGCAAGTGACTTTCCATTCCTCTTAATTAACTTTCCATTTAATCAGTGTGCTGCTGGCTCACAGCCTTCAACTGCATGCCATTGGAATGATGCATCTTACTGCTAGCTGCTTTAACCGAGTTCCACTTGAACTCAAATCTCTCTTTTGGAAACCTTGACCTTATATCACTTTTGCAAGCCAAGTTAACAAATTGAGTTTGTTTCTTTTGTTTCTCCTTTTTGATGTACTCCTTCCAGTTTGTTGTTTTGGATCTTTATTACGCTTGCTTTGTTTCCTTTACTGCTCTCCCTTCTCTCATTTTGTTTTCTCCATTCTTCTCATTGGAGGCAATGAGCCGTCCAGCGGCCGAAACTCCCCTCTCCCCCACCGGCCAGACAGCCGCCCTCTAACTCCAACTTACGCTCAGGCCCCTAAACATTTCCATGTTCCAGGTAGGAGCTGACACGGTCTATGTCATGGTGTCCTGTCACAGTGTAGAATGTAGCCTCGTCACCTCTGTCTCGTCTCCATTTCTCATGCTCTTTAAATCGGGATGCACACAGTTAACAAACCCTAAATTGCAGGATCTGGCTTAGAGGGCCTTTCAAAACTTTTGTGTGTGAAATGCCAGGTTTAAATTTTCTCAAAAATTTTTGAAGCCGGGTGGGAGGCAGAGAGTGAAGGAATGAGAGTTGAATTGTTTTGTTTTCTCTTAACTAAAATTTTAATTTTCCTTTTATATTAGAGCCTTCTAAGATATCGCTCTGTGGTCTGGTGTCATTGATTAATTATTGCAATGGCAATCGAGTTACCTTTCCATTCTAAAGATTGAACCACAGTGTCACTTGACAGTACTTTTATTTTTTCCTGTTTGTCTCCAATGTAGAGATTCTTTCCATGTTCTTTTCAGAGAGAAATAAAATGGGATCCATTTGGTGTTCCTTCTGCAGTGTATAACTAACTAACCACTTGCAAAGCCCACAAAGATATCTTGCAATTTAGGCTTGGTGCCGCCAGCTTTGATCTGTCACAGTACATTTGCTGTCACAGTACAAATAGTAATTTGCCATCAGGCACTGTAAAAACCAGAACCCATTAATATCTTAATGTTTAGGGTCAGCTCAGTTTGTAAAGGCAAGATAGGCTCAGAAGTCACAATATTATTTTGCTACCGGAAGTACATGGTTTCGCTTCTGTAGCTACTGAAAGTGGTTTAATAAATTACCCATTATGTTGATGTTAGTGTACATATTTGGAATCTGTAATAGCTTTCCCTTTTGCATTCCAAACTTACCTAATAAACCAGAGGAAACTTGAGTGAGATTCAAACCATTAAGATGTGACTGCTTTTTTAAAAAAGTTGATTTAAAAATGTTGAGTGAGATTCAAACCATTAAGATGTGACTGCTTTTTTAAAAAAAGTTGCATCAAACCTTGAAAATCAATGTTACACATTTGAACTCTTTTTTTTTTCCACATGAAGAATGCCCCACTAAGATATAATGCCCAAGATTCTGGAGAAATAAAGCTTTTGAAATTTCCTGAGTATTTGCACTCAAAGTGAAATGATAGCATAATCAGATGAGGTCCTGTACAAATATATAAATAATATTTGGCATCTGTTTCTTTTTATAAAATTCGGCTGATAGAAGTTAGGAATTTGTTGATCATCCTGGTAGCATATTAGACTAGCCTGGTGCATAAAAGTGTTTATGTATTTTAAAAAACTCTTACTATATCGCTTTTCACCGTTTCACTCATTAGTTGAAAAGTAAATTGAGCCACTGGGATCTACTGGGAGCTCAATTTTCAGACAGTAGCAATTTGGGGATTTTTCCCAAACTGGTTATGTCTTCCTCACCATTAGAGTACCTCCACTGCTTGCATTTCTTCCTGTTTTAATCCCACTTTTAGTGAAGTATGTATTTGAAATAAATGGCTCGTGACTTAGTTACATCTCTATATATAAAGATGTATTACAAAGGATTTCATATCACTCGTCTATAGTAATTCTCTCATTCCTGTAATTTCCTCTTCCAGTAATCTCAATCTTTGTAATACAAGTTAACTTTCTGGGTTGTTTTTGTTCAAGAGTCTTCAGTTTGGTTTGCCTCTCAGTTGATCTGTTTTTCCCATCGCCGAACCGGTTCCCATAATCACACATCTTTGCTTTTCATTTCCACAGATCAAGGGATCAACATTTACCGAAAACCACCCATCTACAAACAGCATGGTAAAACCCGCTTTCCTCCGTGTAGCTTTTAAGTAGCAGCCTCAGCTGAACTTCTCTTTGCTGTCCTCTGAAAGGCTTATCTGCTGCTGCTTTTGAGAATCAAATCGGGGTGCCCAGCGTATTATGCCTTTCTGTTCTCCTAAGACGCAAATACTGTGAAATCGGTTATCCTACATGGAGAACACTGAGCTTGGTCACGAAGCTTCTAGTTCATCTCCGACCCCATCAAACCATGTACCATTTCATTCACAGAGAAGGGGAAGTGCCGGCCACACAGTAATTCACAAACACCCAACCAAGACTTTTGTTTTCTTTGCCGTTAAATGATTTAACCAATCTCTATAATAATTTTGACCAGCTTCCAATTTGTTTAATTAAAACTAGTGAAAGCTAGTGACCTAGAAAAATTAATTGGACTAAACCTACATCAGCTTGGCTGTCCAGTGCCCCGCTTTCTTATGGGGCAGGCAGACATCTGTGCCCTGATGGTGGAGCGGACGTGACACACGCTGAAACAGAGGTCCTAGCCCTCATCCCATCTCTTCACTTAAACGGCTCTGTTAGGATGTCATGGACACGATTTCTCTGTCCCTTAGTTTTCTCATCTCTAAAAATCAGTGAGTTAGGCTAGTTTGTCTCTGAAATTCCTGTAAACTAAGAATCACTGATATTTTCCTTTTCTGGGAATATGGAATTTTAAAACCCAAGGAATCACATTACTGTACGTAAATCACATTTTCCTCCACCAGTATTAGGTCTCTCAAGATTTATCTGCCATAAATCTTGTGAATGAATAGAAAGCCAAGACTGGTCTTCAGGTCTTTCAGATTTCAGAAATTTACACACAATCTGTGGCTGGAAATTTGAAGGCTGCCTTTAGAATACAGTTGACATTAATGAGCCCTTAAGGGTTAGGATACGTGATAAGCAAATAAAGTTGAAAATGCAGAAGGAAAATATTTTAGGCCAACATTTTAGGGGAAAAGAGAGAATGTATATGTTGTAACCGTTCTGGGACTATGACTTTTTTCCTCATCTGTTTGTTGGGTTGTTTTTTGTTGTTTTTTTTTAAGATTTTACACCATGTGCTTGCTTTTTAAGTTTGTTAACATTGTTTTTGTTTGTTTTTTTATGGTTTAATGTCTTCTCACCCACTCATTAACATGTGAATGTTTACTGACTTCACCAATTCTAATGCGTAAGTACTGTTTGAAGTCATGCTTTTTTTAAGCTTAAGACCAGGATCCCCAGAGTTTATCAATTTAGAGGCCTTTTTAAATTCTAAATTCTCTAGACCCTACCTCTCTAAACAAAAATAGTCAAATAATTAAGATTAATGATTGTATAATGTTAGATTATTTATTTGGAAGGGATGAATTGGCTTCTTGAAATTTACTTTGGCTTTACTCTTTACTTTTTTTCAGACTACTGTAATTAATTAAAATTAGCACAGCCAGAGCAGTACCTCCCAAAGGGCATTCTGCAAAACAGCAGTTCCAAGTGATAGAAATAGACAGTATACCCAAAATTGGTATCTGTGCCCTGATGCATCTGAAAAATCCTAGATTTAAATAAAGTCACACTTTTGGGTGGGGGGAGCAGTAATGCAGACCTCAGTCTTTAATATGCTAACACATTTTGTCCTTTAAGAAGAGGATATAGTAGCAGTGTTTCTAAGCTGAACTTTTTCCCATGAGGTTAGAAAGTCAGAGAAACACTGCTTCATGCCTGGCCAAGACTATATTCCTTATTATTATAAAGGACAACCTTGATCAAGTCGCTTAAGCAAACCGAGACCTAAAAGGTTTCTATAAGAATGGGGAGTTGGCACTGAAGATTGAAAAAGTTACTTCCAAATTAAAAAATCTGTGGGCCCAGAGAAGGGAGAAAGTTTTATTTAGATCATTGTCAATATTTTTTGAAATGTGTAGTAACATCCCAGGTCCGTTTGCAAAATCAGCTAGAATCAGGAACTGACCGTTTATCCTGGTTCGTTTTGCTCCATCTCTGTGATTGGATTTGGGGCTCTAAGCCAAGGACTTCTCTAGGCACAGCCATTACGAACTCCATGAACTAACACTGCTGCTAGCTAGCCTGGCTTTTGTTGTTTTAAAGTTGGGTGACTCCCTGGCTTTTGTTGTTTTAAAGTTGGGTGACTCGCTCGTATGTGCAGACCTTTGACCAAGACAATGAGTGGCTACAGCAAACAAAAGTCGCAGTGCTAAATTCCTGCAAGCTAAAAGTGGATTTTCCCAGTTCCATTTCTCCTAGGATTCAAGGACATATATATATAATATATAAGAATTTAAGTCAACTGTATCAATGTATTTGTGGGTAAGAAGCCACAAAGACAAAGCCAGCCAACCTTCCTAATGATGAAGAGCTACAGTCAAGTGACAATAGTCCATGCTTTGAATTTAACTCTTTAATTTCAAATTACTAATTGAAATTTTTAATTGCTTTATAAGAGTATTGCCCAATAGAACTTTCTAGCTTGATGGAAATGTTCTATCATTGTGCTGTCCAGGACAGTAGCCACTAGTCACATGTGGCTATCGAGCACTTAAAATGTGGCTAGTGCCACTGAGGGACTAAAATTTAATTTTAGTAATTTTTTTCATTTAATTTTATTAAATTTAAATAGCCATATGTGGCTAGTATTGGACAGCACAGCTCTAGATCAAGGTGTTTCAGGTATAGAACAGGTAGATGTAAAATGAAGCTTTGCTTCTGATGGAACATCTGGAAAATGAGTTGAGTTGTCACTAGTCACCACCTAGTGACTGGGCAATTGATAATAAAGAGCTTTATGGAGTTGAAACATTTACCAGGGCACAAGAAAACTATGTTAGTGGGCTTACCACCATGGCCTTGCAGACCGGTAGCTAAGCAACCCTGATTCCCACCTAGATGCAGCTGCCTTGGCAGCCCAGAGCAAATCTTCAGAAGACATCATCAAGTTTTCCAAGTTCCCAGCAGCCCAGGCTCCAGACCCCAGCGAGATACCAAAGATTGAGACGGACCACTGGCCTGGTCCCCCGTCACTTGCCGCCGTAGGTATGCAACTGTCACAGCTAAGCCAAATGGACAAATTGTCAGAAGGTCTCAACATGAAATGCTTAAAAATGTCCAAAAAAAAAAAAAAGTGTCCTATCCTAAAAGGTTTTAAGAAAAATATGACCAAGAGGTAGAATAGCGAAAAGAACTAATGTGATATTAATGTGTGTACAGAATGCTTCAAAGTTACAAATGCCCAATCACCAGAACCTTGCTCTAACCGAACCATCCAGATGCAGAACTGGTCTAAAACAAATAATGTGCATGGACCCTCAGGATTAATACTGCAGTATCGGTAACTCTTTTGAATACCAATGAATCAAAGCCGCTTGGCCAAAACATTGTTCTGTATAATCTGAATCTAGTGGGTGAATTTCCCGAGTGTCCACAGAAGCGTGACTTCTTTCAGCTAAATTTGTTTTAGACTATTTCTGGGTTATAATTACAATTCTTTTAACAACCAATCTAAACACTGAAGCACTTTTACTTTTCTTATGAGCTCACTTTCTCCATCTATAAGCAGGGCTATTACATGAAATATTACTTGTGTAAAGTTACGTGATTTTACATCTATCATTTCCATGAATTCTGTGCTAAAATGTCACATTTGAGCTGTTTCATTCTTTGCTTTGACCCACAAATTTATGCTTTAGAATTGTGTCTGCGTCTTTACTGTTTTGTCAGTCATGAAATCACTTGGCCTAAAAAGTGGTATTAGCAAACTCAGAAGCTAATACTGAAAATTTAGCAAGTTGGCTTCACAAAGATAGGACTATCTTACCATATTTCTGTTGACAGCCTAAAAGGCCTTCAATTTTCCAAAATTTCCAGATTTTCTCCCTCATGCTGTTTTCATCGAGTTATTTTTGCAATCGCCTTTTACAGGCAATATAAGCGGATTGTAAAGCAGTTTATATATGTAGAAATAGTCAAAGGGAAATATACTTCCTGGGTTCATTATTCACAAATGTTCTATACATGATGTTGACTTGAGATGTACCTAATTCTTCCAAACTCATGTCTATTAATTTTTATTAGTATAGACTAAAGAGAGAATATTCACTGACATTGGTCGGAACAGTCATCCCCTTCCTTCTGCCAGCCCATGCCCGCCAGGCAGGGCCGATAGTCAAAGGAAAAAATACTTCCTGGGTTCATTATTCACAAGTGTTCTATACATGATGTTGACTTGAGATGTACCTAATTCTTCCAAACTCATGTCTATTAATTTTTATTAGTATAGACTAAAGAGAGAATATTCACTGACATTGGTCGGAACAGTCATCCCCTTCCTTCTGCCAGCCCATGCCCGCCAGGCAGGGCCGAGTCCTTTGAGATTTGTTGCTAAGTAGAGACATTACAGCAGCCACACTGTTGGGGAGAATTAACGTTTCGTTGTTGAAACTGTCATCACTAAGTCATTGAAAGCTCTTTCGAGTTCTAAAATGAAGACAGTTTCTGGCCCATTAGTCAAAATAAGAAAAACAGACTGTTAGTTAAAGTTTATTTTGATTAGATTAGCAAACTTTCCTGTTTCCTACCACAGCCAGATTAATCCAAGCAAGTTAGAGAAAACAATAATTATCTTGATTTTCCATCCGTGCAGACAGATTTCTCCTTTTCACTCTGTCTCCCCTTCACCAGAAAGTTTAAAAATTATACATGATTTGCAATATTGTACCTAAGTAACTTTTTAGCTATATTGCTGTATTAACAATTTTTATTGAGTTTCATTAGTAGAAAACATTTTTGTGACCATTTTTCAAAGGATTGATAAAAAGTAAACATTAGAAACCCATCCCTTAAGAGAAAAATAAAAAGCATACTTGTTAATGAATTTAAAGAGTAGAAGGCAGGATGATATTATTAGGGTGAGTCTATATATTCAGGAAAAGAAGAAAGCTACAAGATGTTAAAACTTGTCATTTGAGAATGACTGTCTTATTTAAGGGTATGTAGATGAGAATGACTATCTTATTTAAGGGTGTGTAGATGAATTTATATTCCCCTCTATTTGAAAACTGACCTCAGGGATATCACAATAGTAAGAGTAGATGCCCCTCCCACTTACTGCAGAGAGCTGTGACCAGTGGTCAGCGGGATGACTCAGACTCAGTGGCAATGGCAACCCTGAGTTCTTACCGAGCAGGCGAGTTATTGGGAGGCCAAAATCCATGCCTTACTGGATCACACATTCAGCTGGCTGGTCAGATAGACCTGTGGTCTCAAGAAACCAAACAGTAGCGCTGAACTGGTGGTAGGCCCTTTATTCCCTCAACAGACCTGTGGTCTCGAGAAACCAAACAGCGCTGAACTGGTGGTAGGCCCTTTATTCCCTCATGCTGTTCATTAATGTTCAAGACCACCGCTGACTTTGCCAGCCTGACAAGTTGACACAGGTGGACTAGTGCCTTAAGATCCCCTTGCTACGGGGCTAATGTGAGAAGTTGTCTTTGCTGTGGAATTAGGAGCTGACACGAGACGCAGATCTAGTGGCAGAGAGGAAGATGACGAGGAACTTCTGAGACGCCGGCAGCTTCAAGAAGAGCAATTAATGAAGGTTTGTCCTTAAACTCCTTTGCTGCGGGCTTCAACGCAGTTCTGTTTGTTCTGTATTTTTTAAGTGATTGCTGTGGGCAAGCCACCAAGGTGAGCAAGAAGTCATCCCAGTGCTCAAGGGCAAAGTATTTAATAGGTTCTGGAACTGATGACCTGGAGGCTGGAAGTTAGAGGGACGTGGAATGTTTGAGCTTTTGCAAGGAGACTGAGACTCCATGCAGGGCATGTGTGTGTGTGTGATGCATGTGTTGAAAGGATGCTCAAGGGTCAGGTAGGGCCAAGGTGTATACCCACGTGGTGCAAGGCCTTCCTTCCCTCATGCAGGCTCAGTTGAAGGAATTCCCTTGAGATTAAATATTTCTCCAAGTCTTCCCTCGGGACTCGTAGGACCTTGTGTGTATATCTGGGCCAGGAGAGAAGGGATAAAGCAGACTGCCACCAAGAAGCCCTCATTATACCCTCCCACCTCTAACAAGGGCCTGCAACATCCCAGAAGACAAATAGAAGGCGAGCCGATTGTAGCCTGGGGTAGAGGGAGCCAGGAAATTAAAACTCTCCCACCAATAGGGATTGAAGAATCACTTCAAGTGACATTTTCCAAAGATACTTCATTATGTGAGAAATGCACATGATACTAGTTATACGAATGGGTAGGTTACAAGGTCACATTTGTGTCAGCCCAGTTTTGTATTATATGTGCATAGAAAAAATGGTGGATATAAATCAAAATGTAAATAATTATCTCTGAGTGGATTATAGGTTACTCTTCTGGATTTTCTAAAAACTATACAATGAGCACATACTACTTTTTTTTTCCTTATTTTTGAACAAATCGGTAAAATTTCTTTGTAAAGGCTACTGTCCTCAGTCTCTCCTTCACACATCAAAAATCCAAACACACTCACACATGACTCCTGAGGCCACCCGCTGGCATTTTGGGGGAGGGCAAGGGAGAGAGAGCACACCTTCTGATGTGGAACCTGACTTAGGAACATGGAACCTCACCATTGACAAGGCTAAAGGGTTCAGGGTCCCAAACCCGGACTATCTCTCGAGGAACCACCAGGCTCCTATATGCATCCAGGACTCTCCAAAGTCAGGACCTTCTTGCAGAACCTTCTAAAAAGAAATCGCATTTCCATAAACGTAACCACTTTCATTTTTCTTTTCTTTGCGAATAGCTCAACTCAGGCCTAGGGCAGCTGATATTGAAAGAAGAGATGGAGAGGGAGAGGGAGAGGGAGAGCCGGGAGAGATCCTCCCTGTCAGCCAGTCGCTATGATTCTCCCATCAACTCAGGTGAGCCATGGACCACCACTCCCCTCCACCCCCACTGCCTTCCCTGAGCCGAGAATGGGCCACCTGCCTCCAGGGAGCCGGCCTTGGCTGCTCCACGGGAGGGAAGGTCATTTCGGTGGAACCCACAGAGTGTTCTGTGGAAAAAGAAATATGGAAAATACACTTCATGTCAACCGAGCTTCTAAGCATGTCATGGTTCTTCCTTAAATGTGCTTTTCCTTCCCATTGGAAGTGGGGGAGCCCTTAGAGGACCTCGAGAACACGAGGGGTCAGTTGAGGACAGTCATCTCAGGAGGAGGCAGCATAAAGGAAGCCCGCAGAGGGAACAGGTGCTCGTTGACAGTAGACGGCATGGACAGCATTTTCTCAGCATTACGATCTTACATTAATACACTCAACGCAAGAGCTGAAGACGTGGTGGTGGTTTTGTCACTTTTAAAGGAGATAACTTATATGCTGGGGCTGGAATAGTCCAGCAGGATATTATGTTTGTCATAAGCCAGTTCTCTCCCAACTCACAAGATTTCTTCTCCCCTGTTCCGAATGAGTGCATAATTTCCCGAGCATTCCTTTAAATGTGTTTAGTGTTTACTATCTGCAAGCATTGTTGCTAAACATTATTTCATTTAATCTTCACAATGTGCCAGCGAAGTAGGTGATATTGTTTTCATCCCATTTTGTAGCTCAGGGGACAGGTATAGGAAGTTTAACTCACCCAATGTCACATCGCTAGTAACTAGCAAAACTCGGATTTAGGAGTCCAACTGGAATACTCTGCTGCCTCTCATAGATGCCTCCCTGGCATTGACCTTGGATAGGTGGTTGAGTAATCTTCAGAGTTCCACCTAATTCTGTGATTCTGTTCCGTAAGACTATATAGCGTTATACCTACATGGGCCAAAATACGAAGATTTAAAAAGATGAAGTGCCCACAGACGCAGAGGTGTTAAGTAGCAGAGCCAGAATTCAAGCCCAGGTCTGCTTTCCCCAAAGCCTGGCAGTTTATGAGGCGTCTACACCTTTGATTGATGGGACATCCTATCCCAGGCCTCTCAGGACATCTCGATAACTTACATGGTTGACTTTTGGGTCAGCGATTGCTACACACCAACTGAGACATGGGCTTATGCATCCAAATAGCCCAGGGTTCAAATTGTTGCTCAGCAATTTATAAGCTGAGTGGCCCCGGGCAAGATACTTAACTTTTCTTAGCTCCTATTTCTTCTTCTGTAAAATGGAAATACTAACAGCGTCATGGGGGTCGTACTGAGGAGTCAGAGATAAAGCATGCAGAGCACTTCCTCCTCCCCACCCTTTTCAGTTATACCCCTGCCAGCCCATTCCCTGCATCACCCAACACAGGGGCGTTTTGTGGACATTTGAGCCCAGTATTATTTAGGTTATTGTCTTCTTTTAAATCATCTATTCTGCAGGGTAGACGATATACTGCTGATTTCATTAAAGAATCAGACTTCCGGTTTCCTAACTGTTTCTTTATTTTTCTCATTTAGCTTCACATGCTCTATCATCTAAAACCTCATCTCTCCCAGGCTATGGAAGAAATGGGCTTCACCGGGTAAGATTTTGCAGTCGTTTCTCAGTTTATTCCCTCTTAGGTCCTGGTCGAAGTACTGAAATGATGCCTGAGTACATCTGACGTTATGATCTCAGGGTTGGAATGTAATGAAAATCCTAATCTCCTTGATCTCCTGGCAAGGAACTTTGAGTCACAGGCAAAATAAAATACTTCTCTTGAGAGAGAGAAATTGACTTTAGATCAAAGAATACCATATGTAAGTATATGGGAAGACTCAATTAAGTAATAGGGTGGCAAATATTTCTACAATCAAGCAGAAAGTAATTACTCGACCCGTTATCTCTGCTGTAAAAAGATATAGGAAGGTTGGTTGCAACTCCCCTCCCCACAAAGCATCATGGCATCAATAAAACTGTGAACTATGTGGAGAAATGTATTTTTATTTATCAGCAAGAAATACTTGCTGCCCAAGGTCCTGCTGAGCAGCGGCACTGGATGGGCCACCAAAGACAAAGAGATTTCATAGTAGAAAAAGAAATAAGAAAGAAAAATTATGAGGGTCCAGGAATTCAGCTTGGGAAGAAGTCTTAGGTTTTGTAAATTCTTTCTTCCTTTTCACGAATCCAGAATGGGCACTGTGGAGTCGATTTTCTAATTCCATGTTTTCCTTCCCTTCAGCCTGTTTCTACAGACTTTGCTCAGTACAACAGCTACGGGGACGTCAGTGGAGGAATGCGAGGTGAGCGCCCGGCAGCCACGTTGTCTGTCTGGGGTCGAGGTTTAGAGAAGGTCGCGTGATCACAAATGCGTTGGCAGAGTTCATGCTGTGTCACGTTCTGAAGTGGGATCACATCTATCTTCCGTGAGCTAATAGATTTTAGCAAATTATTAAAATCTCAAAGGATCTCTAGTGAAATGAGACCGTGAGAAGCAAGCTTGTAAGAATGAATTCATCGCTCCTACTGTGTGCTGAGCACTCGGTTAGACACCTGGAGGGACAGCGATGGCCCCTACCTTTAAAATGTACACGGCTGTGTAAGAGACAGACAGAGAAGCTCCATGAGAGAGATGCTATGATTGACGATGTAGAGAGAAGGCAGAAACATCCTCATGATGTCAAGGAAAGTGTCCACGAGAAAGGGCTGTTTTAACTGACAACTAAAACCAGAGCAGGCACTTCCTGGCTTCAGGGAGGCAGACAGGCAGCGTGTGCCAAGACCCAGAGCAGGAAGAGAACGTGGGTCATTGGGGAACGTTTGGGGAATGACAGTGGGGTATATATTGTCTTTCTATTAATGGTCCCATGTTTCTCTATGGTCTTTCCCTTCTGATTTTCTTTTCCTCTCTTTTCCAGACTACCAGGTATGGAACACTGTCTTTCTTGAGTTGGCTATACCAGCAGAATAGCCGTTTTCCAATCCAGTTGTGTGTTGCTGCTCTGGGGAGAGCTTTTGTTGAGAAGATGCTGGTTTTGGTTGATCTGCGTAATCATTAGTCTGTAGCCGTGAAGAGCCACGAGGAGCACACACGCCTGTGCACAGGTCAAGCTGTCCGTGCAGGCCTTGGGGACACGGCATGAACCAGGCCAGGTGTTGGAGTGTTCTCTTGCTCCGACTTTAGAGAGTTCTTTCTGGCATGGAAATGGACCAGCATCAAGGGTCCACCCATGTACAGTTTATTTATTTTTTTTAATTATTACCACTCAGTATTTTTAGGCCCTCCCTCCTTTGCCTGGTCCCAAATGAAAAGAAACTCCTGTCTTGGCCCAAAAGGCTTTGGTGCCATTCGTTTTTCCTAGAACTGAAACCTTGTAAAATTATTATAGAGAACGAGAAAAGGAAAAATATGCAAGGAAACCTAAGATAAAAATAAGGCATTAATAATCATAAACTTGGTAATTTTTTTCGAGGTACCGTATGCTTTCATGCACTCAGCCTAAATTCAGGGATTAGTCAATATGATTAAGCCAGGATATTTCCCAACTTGATTATAAAATAGCAGTATCGCTGCTCTTATTCAGCGAGGACCTCATTTTGAAAACTCCATAGTAATTAAGATGACACATCTAGAAAATGGTGATGAGGATTTGAGACCCCAACAGGGAGGTCTGGGAGCCCACAGAGTCCCCCCACCCACCCCTGGCTTCCCACACCACCGCGAGCTCCTTCTTGAACCAGCTTCTCTGTTGCAGACCCTCCCAGATGGCCACATGCCAGGAATGAGAATGGACCGAGGCGTGTCCATGCCCAACATGTTGGAACCAAAGGCAAGTGCCGCTGTCCCCTTCCCTCTCGTACGGGGACGGCCAGCTGGGACAGGACCCGGAAAAGATTTGGTGTTCTGTCTTTTCACCTTTCTCAGACCGAGGAGGCCTCCTTGGCTCTAGGCCGGCACGTTAGGCAAGCCGTGTCTGAAAGCGCCTTGCTATGCTGCGGCTTCGGTCACACCGAGTCAGCAGGCTTAAGCCCTGACGGGGTACGGTGCCACGTGCTCACAGGGAAGCACCAGCACGTCTCCTGGGACTTCGGCATTCACTGGGCTCTGCCACAAGCACTGCAGGGCATGCCCGGTGCTAAGTGGAGTCGCTGCAGACAGCTTCAGATAGCGTGCAGCACGTCCCAGCCTGCCCAGGGCTTTTCCGGTCTCAGCACTAACAGTCTCACATCCCAGGACCCCCCTCAGCCCTAGGCAAACCGGGGTGCTTGGTTGCCCGAGCTCCAGAACATCCTGTACCTCCAGAGGCGTCCAAGGGCCAGGCTCCCTGGTGACCGTAACTGAAGCTTATTTCAGTATGTCACCCACCAGGACACTGCCTCTGGGCCTGCCTGGCTCCGTGAGTTCGTGAGCCAGCCCTGGAACAAGGTCGTTGAAGGATACATAAAGGTCTCCCGCCATATCAAACGTGTCCCTGTAATTTCAGTTCTCTTCCAATTTTTACTCTCATCCCCAAGACATAGTACATCCAAATCCTTTTGCACAACAGAACCCCCTAAAGGCGCAGTGCTGTGTATGAGAGGCTGGTGGAGAGTGGAGAATAGGTAAGAACCCATCCCCATACACAGGAAACTTGAGGGGTGAACACCCATCGCTCAGCTGCTCTAATTATAATCTCTGAGAAGCTCTGTCTTGGGAGTACAAGATTTTAGGTAGATTCTGCTTGTTAATAAAATGGACAGCTGTGTTCTAAAGAGGTGTTTTTCTTTCTCAGATATTTCCATATGAAATGCTCATGGTGACCAACAGAGGGCGCAACAAAATCCTAAGAGACGTGGACAGAACCAGGCTGGAGGTAAAAAATAATCATGATAAAATAAATCTAATCCCAAATGCAGATCCCCATGCATTTCCCCAAACTTTCCCCTAAGAAATGTTTCGGGGAAGGCAAAATAATTAAAAGGGTCAACCTCATACTGTAGGTAGACTTAAGAGATAACTTTGGAGGAAAAGCCAAATTTATACTTAAAACATCAGCATAAGTAAAATCCAGAAGAATGACCGGGGGGCACAGTGTGATTTTAGTTTGGGAACTTGATGTTGCTGTAATTGTGGCTGGCGATGTGGAATGGAGTCTCCGTCTTGCGTCAGACGTCCCCAGATCCTTATCTTTGCCCGAGCCTGGGTCGAGTTCATGCAGAGAGGGGAGGGGGAGCTCAATAACGAGGTTTGTACTGGGCAAGTTTCTCGCTGGGCTCCTTCCGCGTTCCTTGTGGAGGGGTTAGCTGGGTGCACATACCCAGGACCTCCTTAGACATGGAAGACTGGCCTTCGTACTTTTCCACCTGAATGATTTTAATTAAGAAAAGCTCTGGCTGCCAGTCTCATAAAGAATCATTTTTTTTTTTTTCCTTGACAAGAAGCAGTAGCTTTGTATTTGAGGTCAGCCTGGCACAGAGAATAAGAGAACTTTTCTCGCAGGAATGACAGACACATGGACATTCTCCTCAGTAGCCCAGGTATCTACTTCAGCTCCCGTGGCCGAGCCAGGAGGAAGCCTGGGGGTGCCGCAGGGGCCACTCCAGAAGTCTGTCTGTCTCTGGCTTTCTTACTTCTGTGGTCCATGTTCTCTGCATCTTCTCAGCATCCCGAGGGCCTGAGTAGAGTCACCTCCAGCATACTAAATCGCCTTCCCACGTCCCATCACCCTTCAGTGTTGTTATAATAATCATTACTACTCCGCCAACTCTCTCGTTTGGTGGGGATGATGGTGCCTCACCTGGCCTGACCGGAAAAGGAATAACTGGGGCCCGTCAGTGCCTGCTGACAAGCCTCAGAGGTGCTCCCCTCTTTCGTCACTCTGCCTTGCTCTTCAAAATGATTTCCTGTAAACCGGAGAGCACCTCTCAGGGCCATCCGTGTGGACGCCAGGACTGACCACAGTTCTCTTCTCCCTTTGCAGCGCCACTTAGCCCCGGAGGTGTTTCGGGAAATCTTTGGAATGTCCATACAGGAGTTCGACAAGTTACCTCTCTGGAGACGCAACGACATGAAGAAAAAAGCGAAACTCTTCTAAGTCCCCCACACAGACAGCAATTAGCAAAAGGACTGACGATGGCAGTGACACATAGGATGTTGTATGAAGGCCCACACTTGATTGGACATTTTGCAAACCACTGTCCCTCAGCAACACCAAAAAGGGGGACATCTGATTAAAACACCCACGAGCCAAATATCGGGCTGACCGATGGCAACACTTGCCAGGAAGCAATGGGGTAGACATTTCCATGATCCCACACTCGACAGTAGTGTTCACCTGGGTCACCTCATGCGCACGACAGGAGCTACTTCTGTTTCCTTTTCACTGTTGTCCAACAGGAGTGCCGCCCGTACAGATGAGAGCCAGCAAGTGCCCTTAGGATGCCACATGGAGCAAAGCAGCCGCCGTAATTCCACAGCGTGGATGTATTTATTATGTAGCACCGTGGCTGAGAAGGACGAGCCCGAGGGACGTATCTGTGTGGTAGCAGCCACGTCGCACACACCTTTCCTCACTGGCCTCGTACAGCTCTGCCTGGGCTCGAACAGAAATCAGAGTCGGGGGACCCAGGGGCCCTGTGTGAGTGGGCTGAATAGCAGCCAGTCATTTTTTCAACAAGCTCCTTGTTCTCTACTGTTTGCTAGGACCTGGTTCACAAATCACTTCGCTGTTATTAACCAAAAAGAAAAAAAAAAAAAAAACAAATAAGAGAGAGGAAAGGAAGGAAAGGAAAACCTCCCTTAACTTTTTCTGCTTCCGATACTGTGCTGCATTCTCCGTCCCCACCAAGGGACGGGAGCTGTCTGGGGTCCTCCGTATACAAAGAAAGGAAAGGGAAAAATTGTCTCCGGATTGGCCCAGTTGCATGCCGTTAGGTGATTTTTGCCCAGGGACCATAGTGCTCTTGGCAAAATAAAAAAAAAAAAATCCCGTGTCCTCTCAATGCAAGTTCTTCAACCCCACAGCCTCTGCTCTGTATCTGGCATCCTCTAAATCAGATCATGTCCTCGCTGGTTTTGGTCTTTTAAAGTCTTTTCAGTAGTAGCCTAAGAAAAGGCATGGTTTTCTATTTTAAATCTCTGCAACGCCAAGGTAGATCGCCTCAAACTGATTTAATTTGGCCTTCTCGGCTTCTTGCCTCGGCAGCACTGCTGACTTCACGGTATGTGTGCGTGCGTTGGCCCTGATGGGTTTTGCAGACCGCTCCGATGGGGTGGGCCTAAGGAAACCAGCTCTTCCTCCGTCTGGAGCCAGACTGCAGCTGGCCACTGTGCCCCTTCGTCTGTCAGTTGCCTCTTGCTTCATGCGATGTTTCTGCTGTCCTGTCTTCTCTCCGACAGTCTGCGTGTCTTAGTCCTTGCCTTGCTCTGGCAAAGTATGAGGGGTGGGGACCCCAGTGTGCTCCCAGTGTTTCCCTGCCACAGTCGATAACAAGAATGTCCAAGTGGGTCCCAGCACTAGGCTGGCAGAGAGGGTTTTTTTCATTATGGAGATAGTAAAATGCTCCCAGTGTTTTCATTGGTTGATGAGTTATGCCCCCGAGCACATGCAGACCCAATGGCAGTATAAGAAAAACTGTAGTGATAGTTAAAGAACTGAACCCAAAATCTGCTCCTACTAATGAAACTCTACTTCTGTGGTGTCTTTTGCATTCGTTTCTGCATCCAACTTAGAGGGGAGAAAAGCTTCTTTCCATATCAAGTGTATGAGCAGATTTAAATGCATTGCCAGAAAATGCCAGCAGCGTCCTGTCTGCAAACAGAGCAGTATTGTGCTGGGGAGGGGGGAAGGGGTTGGAAACCACAGTGCAGAGGGGGCTCCCCAACTCCACTCCCCAGCAGAAGGCTGCAGCTGGAGGGATGGGCCATGGAGCAACCCGCTTCTCCTGACTGCAGAATCCAGTACATGGGCTACTGTGTTTTGTTAAACTGGACTCAGCATGCTTGTCCTCAAAATGTCCAGGCCACGGCACCAGGGGATCAGTGTTCTCTGCTCGAACCCCGCCCTGCCCTACGCATAGAAATTCTCATTAACGCAGTCAGATACACGGGGATTGTTGACTCTAGGAGAGGCACGGCAGGCGTCGCTGGTGCGTGCGTGAAAGGGCTACGATTTCGAGCATCAGGCTTCCTTACGCTTCTTTCAGCACAGTATGTGGAGTAGAAGAGGCCTCTACATCAGTATGAAAGTCACTGCATCCTTTAAAGTTTCTTCCAGAAAAGCCAGGATACCCCTTAGTCTTGCTGTGTGTTTTATGGTGAGGTATGAAGAGCGTGAGGAAGCTTGTCTAGCTAGCTATGCATCTGCATCGTGGTTTGGGTTAGTTATAAAGTGTTTGTAACGTGACTTCTTCAGTAAGTAAAGATAAACTGCTGTTCTCTGAAACTTTGGACAGAAAAGCTAGAATTAAGGGGTTAATAAGGTGCAAAAAAAAAAAAAAGTAGTTTTTATCTGTCATGACCTCTGACCTCTCCCCCTTCTCCCAATTCTGTTGCTCCCAAGCCAAGTTTCCTCTTCTGGGGGGGAGACTGGAGAAACTCTCGTCCTCTCGAGTTGGTTATGTCAGTCAACTCTGCTTGGAGAAGTCTTCGCTGGAAATGTTTATGAAACGTTCACCCAATTTCTTTACCCTCGAGAGCAAACCTTTTTCCAAAGAATTGCTTCTCAGGTGATTATATGAAATATATACGCTTTTGCAAGTTTAAAAAAGGCAGATTAACCACTCTTGACTAAGCAGGTCTTCTACAAACTCTTAAGCAAACTCGGTGTCAGCGTTCTCTGCACGCTGAGGGGCAGGCGACTGCAGGCCATGGGCTCACAGAGCCTTCTCTCTCAGTCAGGAAAGTTGGCAGGAGGAAATGAACTCCGCCTCACCGGCCCGTCTGTGTCCTCTGAAGCAAGCTCAGTCTTTACAAATCACCTCTTCTGTATTTCTGTTTAACCAATACTTCCTGAGCCGATCTTGATTTTAAATATCATTTTCCTTTGACACAGCAAGTGTTTCTCAGTGTGCCCTAAAACACTCAGTATTCTTGAAGACCGTTCTATGGAGAAAAACAGATGATTTTGGACTCGAGATCGGCAATGACCCCAACTGATAGAGATGTACATTAAGAAACCTGCCCAACTATGTTTTAATGAAAAGCAAGAGAAACTTTTACTTTGGCATTTAAAAAAAAAAATCACTGTCTTTCCATTTGCTTCCCAGGAAACCGTGGGGAGATGGTGACTGATAGGCTTTGCACATGGATTTTTGTTTTTAATGGCAAACTCAAAATCAAAGGGGGAGGAGGTCAGTTTAAGCTGAATGAAACTTTGTAAACGATATATGTGTACACAGCATAATTAAACAAATCCAACATTTTCTGATGTTTAGTGTAATTGAGTGGCGATTGTTACCATTAAATAAAATCCTTCCCCCAAAGTGTCTCTCTCAAAGCGAAGGTGCCATGTGTCACTTTCTAGTCCCATTCGCCAAAGGCAGAAGGAGACGATACTGTGTCCACCACACTCACGAAGGTGGGGAGTCAGTTACCCTTTGTGCACGCATGATTCCTCACCCTACAGAAGAGAAAACAGATGTCCACAAAACTGAGGTTCTTTGGGGGGATTATTATAGACTCATCTGTAACGAACGGGTGTCATTTCGGATTTGCCGGAATCCTGCATCGAAGCTCTCCCAGCTCTTTTATTTCCAATCGGGTCTATGGAATTCTTTTCCAAGGGTCGGAAGGCCTGCTGGCCTGTCTGCCCTCCCTCCCATTTCAGAACTAGGAAAGCAAATATTTGGAAGAACTGCTGCGTAAAAGATGTGTCGTCTCCCCCGTGAAGGTGAGCGGGTGTTGGTCTGCACCCCGAGCACCGCGTGCCAGCCCACAGAGGCAGCCAGTGGGCCCGTGTCACCACGCTGACCGACGGGCCAGCCCACGCCCCCCTGTGCCCTGCTCCGCATCTCCGTTGTGCTCACAACTTGGTGAATAAAGTGCTTTATTCGTAAAGGCCTCCCCGGCCGTGTGTTCTTTCTTGTTCCTCTGCTCCCTTTAAAGGTTGGTCCCATTTGAAGAAGTACCAGCCCAACTTCCAACAACCAAAACAAAACCAGAACCAAACCAAGGTCTTAGGAATGTGTTTTTATCACGTGGGAAGGCCGGTTAGAGGGGGAAACGCCACAAAAATCGTCATGGGATATTCCAGGATTGGTCAGTTATCCATACCACAGAGACCAAGTTGACTAACGGAAAAAAAGAATAGAGCTGTTCGCTGGCTGGTGTTTGGTTTCGTTTGTGCCACAATGTCATCTGTTAGACGAAGCTGAGGATTTGAGGAGGTCGGAGGACGAGAGCTTCTGGGCGGCCACAGGCAGGGGCCCATTTACTAAGAAACTAGATTGCAGGGGGAGGAACACATCCTTCGAATCTTTGACCTCCCCCGCGTTATTAAATTTTCAGTGATCACCATAGACTGGGTGGCTAGAAGAGCAAACGCTTATTTCTCACAGTTCAGCTGTCGGGCGAGAGCCTGCTGGGTTTGTAGATGGCCATCTTGTCGTCTTGCTGCATCCTCACATGGTGGAGAGCAGAGAGGGGAAAGCCAACTCTCTCGTGTGTCTCTTTATAAGGGCACTAATCCCATGATGAGGGCTCCATCCTCATGATCTAATTACCTTCCACAGGCCCCGCCTCCTAAAACCTTCCTCCTGGGAGCATAGGGTTTCAACATATGAATTTGGGGGCCACACAGATACACAATCTGTAACAGCTGTCCAGGGGCCAGTTGCGTTAGCATCCATGCGGACCCGCCCCTGGAAGCTGGAAACAGGTTATTCTCGAGATAGTTGGCACGTTTAGTTCGCTGCTGTACAAAACAGGTCAGGAGGTCCAGCCAGAGGCCTGTGTTCTACTCACTTCTACACCAGCGTCACACTTCGGTCCCTAAGGACCACAAGCCAGCGTTTATCTTCGGTCCTTATCTTGCGCTCTCTGTGGCATTTGCCACTATCGATCACCGTATCATTGAAAATCGACTCTGCCTCACTTCAGCGGTTAGCCCTCGCACACTCACAGCAGAGCTCACAGACTTGGGAACCCAAGGTCCTTCAGGACAGCCCCTTGCCTCACCCACTGCTCAGCTTCTCCTCCCCCAAATGCCCCGCCTTCGAATCTTGCCCTCCTGCTCTTCCAAACCACTGCGCGTTCCCTGAACACACCAGGCCCCCTCCCGCCTCTGCGGCTTTGCCAATGGCATTGCTTCTGTCCAATGCCCAACTCTTGAAGGAGGTGCAGAGCAGAGACATTCTGGTCCCCAAGAAGGAGGTACCAGCAGCTTTGACTAATTAAAATCAGCTGCCCACAAAGCTCTCCGGAGTTACCATGTGAATTTCCCACGGGTTCCATTGCACTAAATCAAAGACAAGCCTGAGTTCACACCCTCTTTACGTGCCTGTCTTGATGAGTCCAGCCCAACGTGCCCAGTAAATTCTTTGCATGCCTGTACTTCAGCATCACGTTTGACAGTTTTCAAGCGCTGCCTAGTACTGCTAGCTTTGCATGTGTTTCTGCTCCTCCGTTGAATTGTAGTGAGATCTCCATATTGCGTGCAGGCTTTGTGTTAACTGTATCCCTCGTGACAGCCTGCAAGACGGATAATTGTAGCTCCAGTATACAAGTGAGGAAACCAAAGCTCAGGGGCTAATTAAACACACGTGATGACTCAGCTGGTGAGCCCAGAGCTGGGATAAGGCAGGCGGGTCCCGCTTCAAATCCCACGCTGTTTTCCTCTGCGTCCCACTGCCCGTGACCTCCCTAAGGCGAGGACTATGTCTCCTACATTCTAAACCTCCCAGAACACTGCACAGAGGAGGTTCTCGGTGTGAGACTGGCCTGTGCCCTTCAGTCTGGCCGTGAGCCCCATCACTGCCATCGAGGCGCAGTTACGAACAACACTTGGGGGGCACTCGCTAGCTGGGTGTGTTAAGCCCAGTTACTTAACCTCTCTAGGCTTCGATTTGTTCATCCACAAAATTGACAAAATAATAATACCCGTCGGAACATCGTTACTAAAATATGGTGATATGCTGAGCATGGTGCAGCACCCAGCACAAAATAATTGCTCAAGAAACTTTAGTGATCTTTATTAAGAGTAATTAGCCACTTAGACTTGAAGACCCCATTAACTCTGAGCCTGTTTCCTCATCAGTCGGGAGTGGATACCTGCTCTGGCTATCTTATGGGGTTGTGAGGACAAATTAGGTAAGGTAGAATGTTCAGACACAGAAAAGCATTATATTAACAAATGGTTTTGGGTAATGAGGGTTTCTTGGTATTTCTTCAGATAGTTTAATCATTTGAGAATTTTAATTTTCTCAGTTTTTCCCCCTTTATTCATTATATGAATACTTCAGTATAAAACAAGCCCAAGAATATGCTTTTGTATGCTTCAAGAATAGCCCTCTCTTTGTCCAATAATAGTCTAAGGTTAAGGTCCCCTGAAGATGTGCTAATGAATAGTAATAATAACAAAGTATTACGTGGCAGTTGAGTGTAGGCTATAGCACCAAACTGCCTGGGTTTGAGTCTTAGTTAGCTGTGTAACTAGTGATAATTTGCTTAACTTCTCTAAGCTTTAATTTATACTTCTATAAAATAGGAATGATGATAATACCTACCTCTAAAGGTTACTGTGAGAATCAGGTAGAACAGGATCTAGCATGGTACAAAATAAGCACTCAAACATTAGCTTTCATTAATAAAGTTGCTGCCACATCACCTGGACTTACTATTTGCCCAGCCCTGACCTCAGTATATTACATGGTTTATTTCACATGGCTCCCTATACCAACCCTCCACCCACCGCCATCTCCCAGTTCCACACTCAGCATGTGGGCAAGTGTCATGCAGAGAAAGGCTCAGGTGCCCTCCGAGGCACTGTGGCCAGCCAGGGACACATCTCAAGGTTCCAGCTTGGGGCTCAGCTCTCCTCGAGGGGTTTTAGCGCAGCTGGGCCTCAGTGTTTCCTGACAGGAGGATTTCCCCAGCCTATGCAAGGGATGCTTAGAAGCACCAACTGCAGAAGAGCTGAGGCTCATTCCCATGAAAGATGGCTTTGGTTCCAGAAAGATCTTTCCAACTGTATGACTCACTGCAAAGCAATCAAAGGCAGCGGAGGCTGAGCTGCCAGATCTCATGGTATTTGGGGACATTTCCTGGGCTCCAGAAAGCCACCAGTCCTACTCAGCCCCTCCTGCCCATCGCTGGCAGCCTTGCCCGGGTGTGTCGCCAGCCCTGCCCTGCTGGATGTGGCCCATTGTTGGCCGGAAAGCCCTGGGAAGGGTGGAGACTTGAGGCTGGCAGCTTTTAAGAAAGCCCAGGGTGGTCGAAAGACTAGTGCTCACAGCTTCTGGGAATCCCAACCCCCACCTTGAGGACGTGCTTTCATACCCTGAATTCCTTTTGCCCCTCCCATCATCCTTCTACACCCAGACCCCGCACTAGGCCTGGATTCTGATGAAAAGAGCCCCTTCCACTCCTGAGGTGCTCACGGGGAGGGCTGTAGCAGGTCAGGCCCCTGGAGGAGGGTGTAATATGACCACATTTATTTTACTTTCCAATCTCAATTGGACGAAAATGCTCTTGGGGCCTGCCATTGTACTGAGCACAATAGCAGGCCCTGGAGAGGCTTTTCTGTATTTATTTGTACTGTCCCCCTGCTGCTGCCTCTTAGCTCAGCCCTTCCCTTCAGATAAAAAGAAAAATTGGCTTGAGAAACCGTCCCCCCAAAGCAGAGGCTGTTTCTGCTTTGCCCTTAGCATGATTTACTAGTAGAACCTCCCAGAACATCCTGCAGGGCCTGGAGGCAGAGCAGAGCCCCTTGGCTTCTAGGCCCAGAGCTTGGGACTCGGGCCAGGGTACATAGTCCAGATGGAAAGATGAAGGCGGTATGACAGGCAGCAGGTAACATTTTCTGAGGGCCTCTGGAGTGCCAGGTGCTGGGCTAAGTACTTTGTGTAGATTATTTTATTTAATCTGTGAAGGGCAAACCCAGGACTGGGAGAGGCCCACTGAAAAGTAGGTGAGACTCTAGCCTCCTCCCATCAAGTACGAAAGCCACATTCCTCCTAAGCAACCACAGCTCTCTGGGGGCTCCACTTGAGCACGTGGCTTTCTAACAATTTGCTGGAAGGACCATCTTTGCAAAGGCCAATACCAGCCTTTCTCAGCAAAGTGGAGCGTGGCCGTAAGTAATATTTTCTTCTAAACTGGACGGATGCTGGCACAGCAAGCATAGGTTCTTTCAATCCTGCTATTGTCTCAAATATATGCTTCCTAATGAAAAGTTAGAAAATGTCGATGGCAGTTACGCTTCCATC